GCCTGTCTGTGTGACGTCACACAGACAGGCATCTGAGATCGGCTCGATTTGAGAAAGGGGTAAACATTTAACCAGATTAAACAAAAACACACTGGGTGGATTTTTATCATTTTAGGGTGGTTGTGTACACACACTGCCAACACACATTTCAGTTCAAACAACTTGTAAAAGTGCATGTAGCATTATATGACCCCTTTAAGTGAATACTTGCAAATGATCTTACATACTAACACAGGACACCAAAAAAAGAAACCCACAATACTGTACGTAAACATTCTGCACACATACCAGAACATTACAAGTGATGTTTTACAACAGCAGTGCTTTTAAATAAAGGCATTTTGTTTGAATTGTACAAGATTATTAGGTAGAAATGTTGCCGATTCAGAGAACTAAATTGTAAGTATCTAGAGCAGTTCATCCAGCAGGTTTCCTGGGCTGTGCGTTTGTCCCAGAGCATCACTGACGGGGTTGTTGCACATGGGACATGAACATCTCACTTCCAGCCACTTCACCAGACACCTGGTAAGACAAAACATCAGAAACAATTCTTACCAGTTATACTTAAAATAGGCCTACTGTAGCCCATTCAAACCAAGAACGATAACTATAACAATAAAGTTTTAATAATCGTTCTACTTCTATGAGAATATTGAAGTCCATGCCACAGCTATAACGATAGGGTGACCCTAGGTCCGATTTTCCAGTTTTCTTCATTTCTAAATTGTCTAAAATCATGTGTTTTAGCCTTAAGTTTGTTTTCCTCTTTATAGTCCTCATTGATTTCATGTACACTTATTTACATTGCTACAGCATTCTCTGTAGATCCCACCTACATGCACTCCACGATTGGTCGATTGCGTTCAATGCCTGCACGCTATTGGTCAAACTACTTTTCAATCACTACCTGGGGGGTATTCCAAAACGCAGGTTATGTGACATACCTGGGTATGTTTGAGGATAAGCGAGCGGATAACCTCAGCTTTCGGTTCCAAAATCGGAGGTAACTTTCAGGGTATGTAAGTAACCATAGTAACTTGCTCTCTGAAGATAACCTGCTCCGGAGCAGGTAATGTTCCAGGGTTAGTTCACTTCAGCGCACGTGTGATCTACTGACGAGCCTTCAGTGGGCGCACAAAATTACATAATATTACAATATGTAATATAGCCCATTATATATATATATATATATTTGTATGATATGTTAATGATGAAGAGCTAATATAAGTAATAAATAAGGTAGGCTAATATATTATTCTAATATGGTTATTATTTGTTTTATTGGCATAAAATAAATAATAGTTATCTGTATAAATTATAAAACACTATGACAAGGTGATATTTAATTTATTATATTATATATATTTATTTATTACATTTTATATTATCATCTCACACATGGATCGGCATTTTCTATAATGTCTAAATTCTAAATCAAAATACATATCTGATATGACTTAATATATAATTAGCATCAAACAAACAATATAATTAATATTCTCAAGGATTAAAGATTAAACCGAAAAAAAAAAATGATTGCACAACCATCAATTAGGTGGCGATATGCACTAAGCATGTAAATTGAACAAAAGAAGAAGAAAGAAACAGCATGGCGTGCTTTTTCTTAGCGTCCTTTCCATAGTGACTCGTCGATTCGTAGCTCTGTTGAGAATGTCTTGAGTCTTAACCAGGAACATACTCGGAGTTGAATGAACTTACTCCCTGACTGCGTTTTTTGGAACCACATACCTCGAGTAAGCAAGGTTTGGGGTTAATCAACGAAAGTTCAGGGTTTATCTGACGGTAAGTTACCCGTGCTTTCTGGAATACACCCCTGTAGTCAGAGCCGTTGCTTTTTCAATGGCTTTTGCCTTCAACATTTTAGGCAGTTTAGAAATCCTGGCCAAGACATGTCCGGTGTCCTGACATTTTATCCTACCTGTCAGATTGTCTAACCAGGGTTTACACATCAACATTGCGTCCTTTTTCTCATGCAGAGCAACAATATTTAATGTATCTGCATTACTGGGTAGGTTTAGGGTTGGGGTAGGTGTAGACTTTAATAAAACACAATCTAATAGGTAGAAAAAAATATTTATTGTTGGTTTCCTGTAGTTGTATCCCTTCTAGCTACAACCGCGAATATAACACATAATTACTGTATTTGCATTGCTGTAATTGTAGGTTTAGGGTTGTGGTAGGTGTAGACGTTAATAAACCATAATTTTACTGGTAACGTTAGCATTTTTCGTTGTCGAATTGTACTACCCACTGTTTTAATGGGAGTTAGCAAAATCTGACAGGGTAGCACAAATGACAGAACAGCAAAAAAAAAGAGGACATATGGTCACCCTAACGATAACTGCACAGAGGAACGAAATCGTTGGAATCACAGTCAGAACGACTTTTCCCAGCTGATGGACGGCAGAGCCGTAGTCAGCGTAGTTATCAATACATAATCAATGCACATGATGTGTTAATAATCACTAGAAATTGCTGCAAATATAGTGAAACTGTTGTCTATCCTACTTAAACCCATTCAAACATATTGACAGCGCGGAGTTGTTTGGAACTATTGAGAGCTCCATGAACCACACAGTGTTGCCAACTTTTCAGGGGAAGTTGCTAAAGGAAGGTCGATTTGTTGCTAAAAGTTGCTAAATGATGTTGTGATGTCATTGCGCGATGAGGTCATTACGTAATCACGACGCAAAATTGTGTCACTACATCAAATCTCAGCAAAAATATATTTTTTATGTTAATTTAAATTTGTTCTTAAAATACTATAAATGCATAATATAATGTTAAAATATAAATAACTATTTTTATATACAACATTGAACACTTTTTTTATTAGCTAGTAAACTAGTAAAACTACACATTCTGAACAATTATAGTTTTAAGCAGTGTACTGGTAGTCAGTATGCTACACTCTAAGAAAATAAATCACAGGTTTTTACCTGCATTTTAAATTACGCATTGTATTTTGTGTTTTCGGGTTACAACGGATAATGGATAATTGATAATGGATAACGGATAATGTCCTGGAAAATTACTAGTACCTTTGCCATTTTTCTAGATATTTTTCTTACAGTGTACTAACTGATCAACAATCACATATACAAGCTACTAACAAGATGTATCATAAATTAACAATTATTATTGTTATTATCAAATTGAACAACTGCAAACAGCAATAACTTAATTCACGTGATGTGTGTACTGCTAGGCATCTTTGGTTTCCTCTTTTTGTGAAATTTAGATGGAAACTGTGTGCCTTTTTATTGTTTGAGTCACTTATCAAAAGTTGCTAAAAGTAGCCAAAATAAAATTTAAAAATAACTAAATTTGTTGCTAGGTGCTTTTGGAAGAAAAAGTTGCTAGGGTAGTCTGAAACGTTGCTAAATTTAGCAACAAAATTGCTAAGTTGGCAACACTGGAACCACGTGGCGGCGAGATCAAAGCGTGTCGCAACTGTTTCTCAACGGCTCTGATGGACGGTAAAACATTGACAGCCAATCAGAATCCAGACATAACGGCAGCGCGTGCTCATTATAAACAGAGTGTTATTCTACGTTGAGGAACGATATATCGTTGGAATCATGATAAACAGCGTTAATTTGATAATTATCGTGAGTTATCTTTATAGTTCTTGTTCTTGGTGTGAACGGGCTTTTACAGTTGCGAGGCACAGGCCATGCTGAGTTCGCTTCAGTGAACCTCTTTTCTTTAATGGCATTAGCATGATAAAACACATGGGAGGGTTTTACCTCTTGTGAAAGGCGTGTTGGCATGGTAACACTCCAAGCTCATCTTTTGTCCTGAAGTCCTCCAAACAGACTGCACATGTTAACTGAGAAACACGATGTAACATTACATGAGGGGAAATCAGAACCTTTAAAGTTTCAAAACTTTCCAAGTAGTCAAATAACTTTAACCTTTTAATAACTTTATAGACAAAAACTTTTACCCCGTGTGCATGTAACCGTGTCGTTTCATCGTTAAATACAACCTGTAATGTAAAACACAGTCGTTAATTTTTTTTTGTTTTACAATATAGTGGCAGCAAAAAGTATTTAGACCCTTCATAGACATAGTTTATGAATTTTGCAACATCAACAATTATCGAACTGAATTAAATGAACATTGAACTGACTCAAGCTGAGCCTTTTTTTTTTAGAGCTGCTTAGCTGAAACAAACTCATTTGAACTGAGCATTGAACCAGTATTGAACTGACTGGAGCTGAATAATGACACTTTCATCTTATGTAGAGCTGCTTTATAGCTGAAACTGAATCTCATATTTGAATTTTGCATAACTGATTCTGTTATTTTCCTGTTAATGTTGCTTTAAGACAATCTCTATTTTATAAAGCACTTTATGAATAAAGGTGACTTGATGTAATTGACACACAAATGTCACTGCAATTAAGAAAACACAGCAAGTGTCAAGCACACTTTCTAAGCACAGTTCCTCTGTTGGCAAAGATACGTTTGAAATCTTGAGGTTAGTGAATGTGATGATAGTTCATGTGATTTTCTACACCCGTGCTTCCTCTAATAGGTCACCTGTGTGAACTTGAGGAGAACGGACTTCATACATCCACTAAAATCACCAACACACCAGCAGACATGAAGAAAAGTGACATTAGTCAAGAGAAAAATCCTGCAGCATCTGAGAGGTTTTTAAGTGTCAAATACTTTCTGATACACTCACCATCTTGTATCCAGCTCTCACGTTGCGAGCCTGATGTCTCAATTTACTACAAAGAAAAACAGGCCATACAATTCATTAACAAAAAATAAATACATATTTCAAACTTTAAAAAGTCTAAAAATTACACAAATGTAATATTTTGTAAATTTTCAATGTCATTTTTTTCTCTTTAGACATCACTATGGTAGTATAGGCAAAGGCTGTGCTGTGTCTTATGTTTCTAAACACAAATTTGGCGAGAAAGGGTTTGTAGTTCTCAGTGTTTGACATGACTTAGCCAAAAGCCTCTGGTCAAAAATAGCATTGTGAACAAAAAGCACAGAGATACAATCTAGTCCTGAATTGTTCGAGTTCGGAAGCGCGTGAGGCCAGAGGAAGTCCTTTCTGCTCTGAGGCTGTCAGTCTGTTATTTACAGGACCATACTGATGAAGTCCAGGCACAAAGAAGAGTTTTAGAAAGGTCACCGAGGATCTGCATAGTCCACACTGGCTGTTCTGGTAACTAGTCACACTTACCTTATACAGAAGCAGCAGAATATCAGGCTTAAAACAAAGACAAAGATCCCAGTGCCAAAGATGACCACATAGATGTTGAGAGGGAGTTCCTGAGAGGTCACTGGAGGCATGGTGTTTTAAATAATAATCATTTCCTGAAGCCCTGAAAAAAGGCAAAACTTGATTGATATGTCACACACCCAGTTTCATAACAATAAGAGCCTGAACGAGCTTAGGGTAATATTTAGAAGCAAAAAAGCAGGCAGCATTTCTTTTTCAAACACGTTAGTACTTTTAACAGATTAAAAAAAACCTTTGGATTAATCTGAACGATGAAGAAAACATACTAATACATTTACAATGACATTAAATATGAATTTATTTACGATATCTCACCATTATAAACAGGCTCCTGAGTGTCTTTACCTCAGTGTTTATTCTTCATTCTCGGAACTCAAGCGTATAAACGGCTCAAATGAATCACTGACTGTTTAGTTACATCTACAATATTGAGAGCCTGTAAATGTGAATAAAATAAAGTCCCGGCCGGATCACGGAGATCAAACAATGTAACGGACTGCAGACAGACCCACAGATCCACATGCACGAGACAACAATAAACCCCGCCTGTTTTTCAGGAGGCGGAGCCTAAACACCAGACGATTCACTCATTATTCAGTGATTCACTCCGTATAAAACTTCTCATGCTCATCAAATTAAATTGCACTATTATAAAAAGAAACAGTAATAATATATGATTTGGTATAATTAGTGTGTGTGTGTTTCTATTTCTATTATATAACATAAAACGTTTGTGACCTAAAGTATAGGCTATAAAAAAGTATTGCATGAATAGTTATTAATTTATCTGATATTATCTGATATTTTTTTTTTTTTTTTTTAATTCTAAAGTAATTTACAGTGCTGGGATTGTAGTCCTTTCCTTCACTAAAGCTGTTAAATACCGTCTTGTACCTTTCCCCCCCCCCCAATTTTGCTTCAAATAAACGTTTGTAACATTGTGATTTGCTTTAACAAACCCCATAGGAATTGTTATAGGAAAAAGGAATGGAAAAAATACTTCCGGAACCAATGCTGATGAAAAAGTGAGTGGGAAATAATGCACTATATAGCATCAGATAACATGTAAAACCCTTTTTGCTTTTGATTTTAATAAGACTGAGAAACTTCAGGTTGAAAGAAAAAGGCCCCTTATGAACTGACCTCCGGTACTAAGGGCTCTGTGAATGAACTCGGCTGCTGGGTAGAAGTTGACACTCATGTCGAAAGAGGGCGAGTCGTGGGCTTCAATGCCGTGATATATGATGTTCATGCCAGCGTAATACTCCGCACCACCTCTCCATTTGCTCTGAGCACAGTTGAGGATGTGTGTGATCCCGAGCTTGACCAGTTCTTTGCGGTTTGAGGCAATTTCTCTGCAAATTTAAGTGAGAAATTTGTACACAGTACAAAATATACTGGCAATTTCTAGTTTACCTATCTAAACAGGATAACATTTCACTCTTTTACTGCTATTTCATGCTTTGTTAAATGCATTATTCAAAGCAAGGCATTTTATGATCCATGAAGTTACATATCTTTTTAAATTTTTTTATTCAATACTAGTTTTTGTATGAGCAACTAAAGCATAATCTTGTGTTCAGCATCCTGTATATGGCCAAAACTGCAGATATTCATGGGCTACTTACTGGTCACCTATGTAGAGTCGTGGCCACACTTCATCTGCATGATTACAGGCGGTTTTCCCAGTGTACAACAGACGCTCAAGTTCAGCAACAGTTAGCACAGGAGAGCCTTTCTCTGAGTCCTTTCTGCTGGGAGATCTGGAATTACTCCTTGACCGGGACAGTCTGGACATAAAAGCCATCTGGACTGGCCTTCAGTGGAGCTATAAAATAACACTGAAAATGTATACAAAATAAAAGTAACAATTTTACAAAAATTTAAAGGGACAGTTAACCCCAAAATTAAAAATGTTGACAGATTTTTCAGGTTAAACAAATAATCATTACTTATACTATCAAGAAAACAACCAATACAATTCTATTTTATATATTTACATTATCAAGAGTGTTGGGGGTAATGCATTGCAAGTAATGCAAGTTACGTAAGCATATTACATTTTTAAAGGGGTCATATGATGCTTTTTTAAAGATCATTATTTGGTGTATTTGGTGTAACAGAATATGTTGACATGCTTTAATGTTCAAAAAACACATTATTTTTCAAATACTGTACATTATTGTAGGTCCTCTATGCCCCGCCTCTCTCAAAC